TAGAAAAGAAAAGAATTATTGATCCGAGATTAGATAAATCGATATATTAATACAGTAAAAGATATTGATATTTTGTGTTAATAGATTCAGAATTCCACCAGACGAAGAGATTGCTAGTGGCTGGTGTCGTTTGATGCGTTATTCCGGGAGGATAGATTGGCCACGAGTCCGCTCCTGCCACCAAGACAGTACGTGTTGCTCAAATCGAGGAAAAGTATCAGGTGAAAAGCATGCAAGTCGCGTAAACACGCTTGAAGGAGACTACTGCAGAGTCTTCAAAAGGCATATTTCTCTTCGTTTGCATAAAGACCGCTTTCGGAAAATCTATCTATCTATCTATCTATCTATCTATCTATCTATCTATCTATCTATCTATCGATGGAATATATATTACCGATTTATTCTAAATATAGAAAGGAATCTATGTGTCTGTTTTTATCTATCTATCTATCTATCTATCTATTATCTATCTATATCTATCTATCTATCTATCTCATTTTGTTCATCTATCTATCTATCTATCTATCTATCTATCTATCTATCTATCTATTTCACTTTGTTCATCAATCTATCTATCTATCTATCTATCTATGGGGTCAATTATCTATCATCTATCTATTATCTATCTATCATCTATTTCTATCTATGTTTGTGTTTTATCTATTCTTTCATCTATCTAATATCTATCTATCTATCTATCTATCTATCTATAAATAAATCTATCTATTTCGATCTTTTCATTATCTATCTATCAGATGAATGAATTTGGGTTTTCTGCGATCTATCTACATCTATTTCGGGTTATATTATCTATATCTATCTCAACAAAAATATATATAAATATACGGGACAGTTGGGGGCCGTTGATAAATGATAACACGAAATATCATGGCGAATTGAGCCTGTTGGCCCTCTTCACATTATTGAAATACACGCCCTTTCCCAGAAACTGTAACTAAGGTCTGCTCAGCATAATTGCAGTATAAACCACTAGTGTGCTCTGTGAGTGTTGAATAAACACTAATGCACGTGATCAAGCGTCTGCTGAGGGATTGAGCCTAGTAGACTTCACATTGTTGAAATACACGCCAGATTTCCCAGAAACTATATATAAGGTCTATATATATATATATATATATATATATAACCAGATAGTTTTTAGATAGATAGTTTGTATTGTTAGCATTTGTGCTTATTCAACACCCATAGAGTCCACATGCAGCTTATACTGAACTTAGTGACAGTTTTTGTAAAAGATCGTGTTCAACAATTTGAACAAGAACAGAACGCTCAAGCCCTCGGCCACGATGACTTGTGACTTCGTGCTAGCAGAGTTATCAACGCCACCATCCCAAGGGTTCTGTCTGCCCAATTTCATCAACACGTCGTATGGTTTTTCAAAGGTGCCGCATGCTCCGATAAAATCAGGGAGTCTCATGGTAAGACTTCTGGATGTTAACGACCATGGTGAGATTCGAACCATGGTATCAGGGTCAGAATGCGAGAGTTCTAACCTCACGGCTCTTATATTTACAAACAATTACTAAATCAATATAACCCTAAAAACAATATAAAAAAAAAAAGACATTGGTCCTGAAAGTATGAAATTATATAGAAAATATCCGGAGTTGAAAATATAAAATGGCGTTCAGAATTAAATTAGCATTAAATAATAAATCATAAATGTTGACATGCCGCGAAAAAGAGAAAAATCATCTAACAAAAAAAAAACAAAAATCAAAAACAAAACAAAAAACAAACAAACAAAAAAATCCCAGAAGAATTATTGCGTCAATCGGTGCCTTTTTTCTGTTTATGCTTCCTTTATTTTCGTTGGTTGGTGGTTTTTTTCATTAGAGGTTCTTGCTTTTACCTGTTTTTTTATTTTTTATTTTTTATTTGGCAGTTTTTGTGTTGATAGCCTGGTATTTACAAGTTTTACCAACTTTTTTATATATATATATATATATATATATATATATATATGAAGAAATATACTCTTAAGGTGTGCTATATTTATGGGATAAAGTGCTCAATATCAGAGAGCGTGGGTAAATAAAAAAGTGAACATTGAAGACAACATTTAGAGGCTACAGGCTGTTTCATGCTAAACGCAATCATCCAGCCACAAGAGTTTTTTCATATATATATATATATATATATATATATATATATATATATATACGGGTCAGTGGTGCATTGTGGGTAGCACTACTGACCCGTATATATAAATATACGAGAAAATAAAAACAACACTCGTGGCCTGACGATTGCGTTTAGCATGAAACAGCCTGTCGCCTCTGAGTTTTGACTTCAATGTTCACTTATATATATATATATATATATATATATATATATATATATATATATATATATATATATAGGATATCTTCATTCAAGCATGTTCGGTTGAATAATCTAGACATATATCAATTTATTTTTATTTTAATCCTCTTAAAATCACGGATAGATTTCTTAGCGCTGTTAGAAAGCTGAGTAAGAAAGACTCCTGTAGTTTTGGCTATATCTTTAATTTTTACAAGTACTTTCAATCTCGTCCAATATATATATATATATATATATATATATATATATATATATATATATATATATATATTGAACGAAAGGTGTAGTGCAGTAATCACTACTGAGAGTTTCTATATTCTTAGCACCATAAAAGAAAATCTGAAACAGTAAGAACGTTAGAAAAATTAAATAAAAATATTTCACCTTGTCCGTCACATTCAATGAAATATGTATAAAAGAAAGATTGTTCCAAAATAAACAAATAAATACGTGTATATATATATATATATATATATATATATATATATATATATATATATATATATAGTGTTGAATTAGATCAAAAATAGTAGTATTAAAACTTGCTGAATACCCGTATGAAAAATTAAAATTTAACATGTACAGCTGATTATAAAAACTTGGGAGATCAACCGATTCTTCTACGTTGGTTTTCACTTTTCGGTTTGACCCCAAACGATACGTTCTCCAATGCCCTTGTTTTTCTCCACCTTCTTCTCCTCCTTCTTCACTTCGTCGTGCGTTAATTTATTTATTTTTAAATAATAAATCGTTGATTAATTTAAAAATAAAATATTATAAAATCAGTTGAGCGAAATCGCCTGAAGATGCCGAAAGTTTGAAACCAATGTAGCGGAATCAGCTGATCTCTTAAGTTTTTATACACCATATATATATATATATATATATATATATATATATATATATATTATAAATTAACTGATTTAAAAATATGGCTTCATCGCTACACAGGAATTACCTTCTTCAAATTCAATTATAATTAAATCTTTTCTGTTTCATCTTCAAACGAATTTTGGAATATTCCCAAATGCGCTTGAAGATGAAACAGAACTAATGCTTTTGATTTAATTATATAACTGAATTTGAAGCATTTTGGTTTCTGTTTAATGTGGAAACATGGTAATTCTTGTGTAGCGATGAAACCATATTTTTAAATCAATTAATTTATACCATTTATGCTCTGTAAATTTACATTGAGCACTGTTTTGTAAAAATAAAAATATCAATAAGAACACCGGATTATAATTTTTTTGTTCTTTTTTTTTTTACTATAATATATATATATATATGTGAGTGTGTGTGTGTGCGTGTGTGATAATGAAGTCAACACTCAGCGGTGACAGTCTGTTTCATGCTTAAAAACAATCGGCGTGCCATTTGCCGATTGCATATAAGCATGAAACCGCATGTCGCCGCTGGTGTTGACTTCAATGTCCACTTTTTTATATTTACATGCGCTCTATTGCTGATATTGAACACTGTAACCCATAAATATAGCATAACATAAAACTTTATTTTATCATATATAAATATAGCAAAAATTTCAACTTCTTGAGGCTGTCTATATAAGAAAAATACAATGAAAAACTAAATAAGTTATTTAAATCAATCCTGAAAATGGTCTCATATGATGATTTTAATTAAAAAAATTAAAATTGTATAAATTAAAGTTACCTCCTTCAGATGAAACTTTAAAAAAAGTTAATTTGCTTTAAAAAAAAAAAAATTATAACGGAGTTTCTTGCGCATTTACACAAAAAAATTTAATATCAAAATTAAAAGTCTTTGCAAATCAGAGATGAGATTGAGTAGAAAATTAAAATAAAAAAAACATATGTCCAGATTTATTCAACAAAGAAATAGGCTTGAATATGTCCAGATTATTATATATATATATATATATATGTATATATATGATCTCTCTTCTCACATCAAAACAACAGTTTATTGAATTATTTACCTACAAATACAGTATTTACTTTTAAAGTACATCATATATAGGTTTTATGATTTAAAAATCAAAATACAAAATTGCATTTATAAATTTTTTCTTGAAAAATCTATTTAAAACGCCTTCCTACTTTTCTTGTTTGCTCATAGCCATTTTGTGTCTGATGAACTTCTCTGTTTACCTATTGAATGTATCTTCAATATAAGCCGGTTTAAAATGAACAATGGACATTTTTTCTTTTCAATTATAATTATCTTTCATAAAGTATTTCTCCGTTTTTATGAAACTCGGAAAGAAAGATTATAAAAAGAGTAAAAGCTAATGCAAATGGAGAACGTAAATTTCAAGTTAGTTGCTTGTAAACACCTACAGGTTTTGTAGAACATTCTATGTATTAGTTAATGTTCTTGGGATGATTGTATGTTGTATCATTTGACCGCCAACTGTCGTCGTCGTCGTAACAAGCCTAACGGAAGACGGAAAACGCGATGCGTAAATCCGAAGACGTATCGGTATAGGGAGTGATGCCTTTCCAAAGTTAAACAAAGTACTAAGAAACAGAAAAATAAAAGAAAAAGTACTAAGAAACAGAAAAAATATTATATAATATGCCTTCACGGCAGTACACGTTGGATAATTTCCTCAAAGAGATTTTGAAGAATCTTGAAGCAATAGAAATGTGGTTCTACAGAAGGATGCTGAGAATATTATAAATCGAACATGTGAGCAATGACGAAATGTTAAAGAAAATGGAAACAAAAAAAGACTCTTATACTTAACATCAGCTCTGCAGAGATCAAACCTAAATCCTCCTTTGTAGGAGAAAGCACCGTTTAATCTGGCGTGTTTTATCGCCATGCAAGGGAAAGCGTCACAGTTCGGCAAGGTTCTATTTTCCTTGGACTGTGACGCTGTCAAATGTTCCCCTACAAAGGTGAACGCAGGTTCGATCCTTGCTAGAGAGCACATTTTCTTTATTAGGAATACTCGAATACTCGAGACCGATAGACGTAGTACACACTATTTAAAACAAAAATAAAAGATGGCGCTTATATTTCAAATACGAGTATACACGATATAACCATGTGAAGTAGTAAAAATCACGGATTAAAAATGAATCCATTAATTCTTGAGAAGTTGCTTTGTTTACGTTTCGGATCCGAATTTGAGCAGATATGGGCTTTAGAGAAAGATATTCTGAATGAGGAAGTGTGCTTTCTTTAATAGGGAGAATAGAGTCCTGCTGAGCTGTGAGGCACTTCGTGACAGAGCGGTAACGCACGCCAGATCTAACGGTGATTTAACTTACAAAAGGGACGCAGTTTCGATACCTGCTGAAGAGCATATTTCCTTTATTAGGATTTCGCGAATGCACAGGCCGGTTGACGTAATACACACAAATTAAAATAAAAAGGGGGACATCTATTTTAAATACTAGTATCCACTATATTAACGCTTTAAATAAT